CTCCAGGTACAGAGCCACATGCTGCTCCAGGCCGCGCGCCGCCGCCACATGCAGGGGCGTCTCCTGGCTCTCGCCTGCCGCCAGGTTCACCGTCGCTCCCGCTTCCAGCAGCAACTTGGCGCACCTGGGGACAAGAGAGCAAGGTCCCGGGGAAAATCCTGAAGGCCTGGGACCCCTTCAGCTTGCTGTCACCCTCCCTTCTCTTTCCACCCCTCTCACCTTGAGGTCCTACCTGGTGTCCTCCATGAATCACACAAGCCCCGCTATAGACAACAGAACTGGAAGGTGCTGAGAGCTACCAGAAGCATCTTCAGTTTTCATATGAAAACTTAAGCCCAGAAGTGATTTGTGCAGCCGAGGACACAGCAAGTTAGTGGCTGCACCAGAAATAGTGCTCACTGCCTCAGACAGTCCCTCCCTCCCAGAGTCTACTCTGTCTCAGTTGTCAGTTGTCTCCTAACTTTTTTTTTTTTTTTTTTTGGAGACAGGGTCCCTCTCTGTCGCCCAGGCTGAAGTGCAGTGGTGTAATTACATATAGCTCATGTAGCCTGGACCTCCCAAGCTCAAGCAGTCCTCCTGCCTCTGCCTCCCAAGTAGCTGGGACCACAGGTGGGCACCATCACACCTGGCTGATTTTAAAAATTATTTTTTGTAGAGACAGGGTCTCACCATTTGCCCCAGCTGGTCTCAAACTCCTGGGCTCAAGCAGTCCTCCTGCCTTGGCCTCCCAAACTGCTGGGATTACAGGTGTGAGCCACCACACCAGGCCTTATCTCCTAACATTTTGATAGCACAAAATTTGGAAAACCCACTTCTGTGTACGTTATGAAACACAGAAAATTAGAAAGTATGCACCAAAACAAAAATACAAGTTATAATATTTTATTTCTGCCCTCACACTTAAAAGACCACTCTTCTAAACCAGGCCACAATCATTCAAGCAAAGGCAGGCACTTGGGGCCACCCTCCTCCACTTTCCCCTAGAGAAAACAAAACCGAAGGAAAAACAGCAACAAAAACAGGTTTTAGAGAGCACATGTTTCCCAGTTCCAGGGAAAATTATAGACCAGAACACTGTGGCAGCAAACATGCATCCTTACCTACTGCAGGGTAAACCAAACATGCAACAAACTAAATTAATAATGATGAAACAAAGCTAACAGTAACTTATAACTAAAAAGCCAGAACGGCAGCTTCTGGAAACTCAGGAGCAGATCCACCATCCTCAGTGAAACCCTGATAACCAAATACCCTTTCCCAAAACGGCCAAAATTCTTTTTTTTTTTTTTTTTTTTTGAGACGGAGTCTCGCTCTGTCGCCCAGGCTGGAGTGCAGTGGCACGACCTCGGCTCACTGCAAGCTCCGCCTCCCGAGTAGCTGGGACTACAGG